AGACAAATCACTTAGGCCACATACCTTGAGGTACCACTGAGAAATGGGCTGAGTTTAGGGACGCTTTATGATGCTGTTCAGGAGACCTTGCCTCGCAGTGATAGAAAGCCATTGCAGCGGATTTTAAAGATGTTTGTGCTGTGAATTTCTTTTCTAACTGGAATTCGGAGATGAGCTGCTGAATGATGATATCCCACTCACTGAGCAGTCAGTAGTTGGTCCTTTGGTTGCATATGATGCAACAGTTGTTTCAAGACGGGACTGATGGCAGCTGCTGATATGAATTCCTGCAATGAACTAGCTCTAATCAATGTATACTAAAATGTGAAAAACTTTATTTTAGTACCAAACGATTCCCTGGTTACGATTCTGAAAGCAAGGAATTTAATGCAGAAGTACATCGGAAGCACATTATGGGGCAGAATGTTGCAGATTACATGCGTTACCTAATGGAAGAAGATGAAGATGCTTACAAGAAGCAATTCTCTCAGTACATAAAGAACAATGTGACTCCAGACATGGTAAAAAATTTACCTAAAAATGGCTTTTTTGGTTTATTTATAGGAACAGGTTTACTGCTTACATTGTTAGGTGGGCTCATAGGTAGTCATGTGAGCTGCCCTTGGTTTAAAATGTAGTTAGAGTGGATTAACAAGTCGGATAAGACAGTGTAGGTAATGTGCTGGAAGTGACTTGTTTCAGGAAGCTTGTTTCCAGCTCCCGGTGCCACCTTTGATACTTTGGCTGTTCTCTCTATAGAAGTCATTCCTGGCGTCAGATGTGTTCTGCTTTGCTTGATTTCAAATGCTAGATTAGAACTAAATTGCACTAGTTTTGAGGCTAAAGGGGAGGAAAGTTGTTTTTGTTTTGTTTTTGTTTGTTTGTTTGTTTGTTTTTTGACAGGCAGAGTGGACAGAGAGACAGAGAAAGGTCTTCCTTTTCCATTGGTTCACCCTCCAATGGCCGCAGCGGCCGGTGCATCACACTGATCCGAAGGCAGGAGCCAGGTGCTTCTCCTGGTCTCCCATGCGGGTGCAGGGCCCAAGCACCTGGGCCATCCTCCACTGCACTCCCTGGCCACAGCAGAGAGCTGGCCTGGAAGAGGGGCAACCGGGACAGAATCCGGCGCCCCGACCGGGACTAGAACCTGGTGTGCCGGCGCCGCAAGGTGGAGGATTAGCCTAGTGAGCCGCGGCACCGGCCGGAAAGTTCTTTATAGCAAACAGGTACTATGTTGTGGCTTTCTAAATAGCTCTGACATGCACACGGAAAGGGAGCTACAGATTCCAGCACTCTGATCTCACATGCACGGAGGGCGCCATGGTTTCTTGAATGTTTACACTGGATGTTTACCAGGACTAAATCTAACCCTCAGGGCCACCTCTGTTGAGAACAGAGTAACTGAAGGTGATGGTATTGTTTTGAAATTACAGTGAGAATGTAGAACACAAATCACATTATTATAAATCTTTCATAAATATAAGTAGATGATGTGTTAAGTAATTGTTTTGCTAGGTTCTTTTCTGTTGGTATATAGTGGTTTCTGTTTGGCATAGCTTTGGCTAACCAGAGGTTTAAAGAGTCATAAATGGGAAGAGATCACTTTATTTGTATTTGTTGAATGCAGTCTGAATAAACACATAGTTTGACTTTGGTTTTAGTATTTTATTTTATTTGCAAGGTTGGGTTACAGAGGGAGAGAGGTCTTCTATCTGCTGGTTCACTCCCCAGATAATGGCTGTAAAGGCTGGAGCTGGGCTGAACCAAAGACAGGAGCTTCATCCAGGTCTCCCACGCAGGTGCAGGGGCCCAAGTACCTGGGCCATCTGCTGCTGCTTTCCCAGGCCATAGCATAGCAGAGAACTGGATGGGAAGTGGAGCAGCTGGGATACAAAACTAGCACCTGTATAGGGTGCTGGCACTGCAGGCGGCTTTACCTGCTATGCCATCAGTAATGTTTCAGACTCCCAATTTGTGCTTTTAGATTTTTTTTTTAAGATTTATTTATTTATTTGAAAGGCAAAGTTACAGAGGGGGAGAGGGAGAGAGGTCTTTCATCCACTGGTTCACCCCCAAATGGCCACAACTGCTAGAGCTGGGCCAATCCAAAGCTAGGAGCTTCTTCCAGGTCTTCCACACAGGTGCAGGGGCCCAGCACTTGAGCCATCTTCTATTGCTTTCCCAGGCCATAACAGAGTTGGATCAGAAGTGGAGCAGCTGAGATTTGAACTGGCACCCATATGGGATGCCAGCATTACAGGCAGAGGCTTTGCCCGCTTTCCAGCCCCTTAGTTTATTTCTCAATGCCTCCCTTAGGCTATAGGAAAGGTAGAATGCTCTTTGGCTACTGTAGTTTCTCACTGGATACTATCTGCCATGGCCTGTTTCTTCCTGTGTACCTGTTAACATCCTCTGCAGTCATCTGAAGTTGTCTTTACCTAGATTGACTGGATCACCTGCATACATAGTTGTGTTTCCTACTTACCCCTTGGAGGGAAGAACCCGATTACTTAGATATGTAAATGACTACTTGAAGTCATGGTTTATTAAATGCAGTGGGTAGTTATGATAGAGTGCTAAAAGAGAGAGGTTAACTTTTAAAGGAAATGTATGTAAAGTCATAAATGCAGTGACATTTTTACATTGTTTACCTTTGCTAAGCTTTTTTTAAGATTATTTTATTTGAAAGAGTTGCAGGGAGATATCTTCCATCTGCTGGCTTATTCCCTAAATGGCCTTAACAGTCAGGCTTGGTTTCTGGGTCTCCCACTTGGATATAGGGGCCCAAGATCTTAGGCCATCCTCTGTTGCTTTCGCAAGCCCATTAGCAGGGAGCTGGATTATAAGTGGGACTCAACTCAATTATCAGCCGGGACTCAAACCAGCGTTCGTATGGGATGCTGGTGCTGCAGGCAGTGGCTTTACCTGCTATACTACAGTGCTAGGACTGCTCCACTTCCCATATGGGATGCCCATAGGGGATGCCAGCGCTTCAGGCTAGGGCGTTAACCCGCTGCGCCACAGCACCGGCACCAAGTAAAAGAATTTAAAAAGTTTTTGTTATTCTGTATTAGGAGCTCAGTATGTGTTTTTGCAGAAATAAGTTTCCTTTAGAGTGACTTGAATAGTTGAGTTCCTCAAAAATATGCATATAGATTTTTCTTGAATAAGATAATTTACATTGCATAAGGTAAAAATTGGGAATCCGGCTTAGGGAAGGACAAAATAGAACATGTAATAGAATACTGTACATTAATGTAGGGCATATGAAGAAACCAAGTACTGTTTGCTTTCCTTTGTTTCAGATGGAGGAGATGTACAAGAAAGCCCACGCGGCTATACGAGAGAATCCAGTGTACGAGAAGAAGCCCAAGAGAGAAGTTAAAAAGAAGAGGTATGTGTCTTATTGTCATGTTTTCAAGAGAGTGAGTTTGAGAGTGGTTCCTGCCTTACTTCATCTTGTGGGTCAAATTCTCAGTATTGTGCAAACTCGATCACTGGCTCTGCATGATGTGGCAGTAGCAAAGGGAACCAGGTTTGCAAAAGTAACTGTGGTGATAGAAATGTTTTAGCCTCAGAAGCTGCTGAGGTGGCCCATTCTATCCCAGTACAGTGCTACTGCATTTTTTAGGGGCTACCTAAAGAAAATAGTTACCTTTTGTTGATCTTTCCTGTTTTGGTTTTTGGATGGAATAAAATATGATACTTAACGAACATCTGAGCACTATACTAACAAGTCTTATTTGGCCATGTGTTAATAGGCTGGGGTTTCAGAAAGTTAAAGATCATAAACAAAGATAAATATTAGAACTTGGATTATTCAGCTTTCATCTGATAATGAAATTTTTCATTTTCAGTTGAAATTAAATATTGTGTCCTTTTTAGCCATAGATTTAAAATATATATACTTAACTTTTTCTTAATTCTTTGTTTTTTAGGTGGAACCGTCCCAAAATGTCCCTTGCCCAGAAGAAAGATCGGGTAGCTCAAAAGAAAGCAAGCTTCCTCAGAGCTCAGGAGCGGGCTGCTGAGAGCTAAACCAAACAACTTTCTATGAAGATTTTTCTGATAAAGACAATAAACTTATTGAAAGCAGCTATTTTGTGTTGAGCTCTTGTTATGAAACTGTAGGAGACACCCTGAAGTGCATTTAAAAGCAGAGGAGTTGACAGTTTGCTCCAGGAAACAAGTACAGGTTTTTCTAGAAAAAAAAATTGGCATGTTGGCTCCAGTAAAGTTGACACCCGTTTCTTGGGCTTCTATTCTCCCTGACAGGAGTTACCGCCTCAGGTTTTTTGAAGTGCAGCTCTTGCTAGAATCTGGCAAGCAACAGACCAGCGATCGATCATTTGGAAATGTTACTTCCATCCATTTATTACAACCAGATGGTTAGTGGGAAGAAAAAGTACCCTCAAAGTATACAAACCTAAAGCATACAAAACTGGTGGTAATCCATGGCTTTATATTTTGAGAAAATTGATGAAGGTCACATAGATTTAACACATTATATTGAACCCGGTGAGACCTCTCCAAAAGGAGGGGTTGTATTTTGTGAAGATGTTGAAAGGTACATGCCAGGGCCTGAATTTACATGGGAAAATGACATGAGAGGAACAAGTATTAAACTTATCACTGGTGGTAATGTTTGATAAGTAAATTTATATGCCAATTTAAGAAATAGCCCTTTGGCCCACAGGAAATGCTGTTGGGAGATAGAATCTCCTGGGATTTCAGTCTTGTCCCTAGAGTTACAAATACCCTAGCTCAGATTCAGAACATGTGGATCTGAACTGGGCTGATCATATGAGGTTAGTTTTTAAGGGCTCAGTCAGCTGGTTGATAATAGGACAGAGCCTTCAAACAGGATAATTAGAAGTATGCATTTCAGCCACAGAAATCTTGAGCTAAAAGTCATGGAAACAATCTGAAGCTTACACAAAACATTGGATGTCTGAGGTTAAAAATGTAATTCTACAATAAACCATGCTATTAACCCAACATCTGTTTGTAAAGGAGTAATTTTAATTTACCTGCTTCGCAGTTTTAAACTTCAGTTAATGTGCAAATTTTACCATGCTAAGACATTAGTACATTTATGTATAAATCTTTTTAAAACAGCAGCTTCAATGCAAATATTTCCAGCAATGGTAATTTGGCTAATAGTCTACAAAACACTTGATGTTTATGGAATGAGGCTTTTCACAGCATTATTTCAGTCATTAGTCAATAGTTAACACAGTGAATGTATTTGGGAAATGTAACAGGGCTTCTAAATGGGGTAGGAATGCAATCTGGACCTGTTGGTCCTACACCTGCCCTTCAGTAATTGCATGTATTTAAGATGACACTTAAGCCTGGGGGAAGTGATCTCTGAATTAGAAGCCATTATTTTTTAAACGCTCAAAATTGTTCAGAAGTGGTGTTCCTACAATGGCAACAGTGTCCAAATGAACTAAGAGTCATTTGTGTAGGAAATTTTCTTCCATAATAATGTTTTTAGGTTATTTAGTATCAAAGAATGTTCCATTTCCATCTGATTTGCTGTGACTTTGAGAGCAATACAAGAATAAAGCTGTTTTTCTAATTCTTCTCGGATTTCGCTGGGAGCACCACGCAGTAGGTAGTCTTTGAGCAACTGACAGGCTTTTGCTAGGTTTGGCTGTATTACTTCGGAAGTACACTTCATTGTACTCTGATCACAGCTAGTTCTGCAATCTGTGCCGTAGACACAGTCCAAATCAGACTCACAGTGACGATCCTTAATCAGTTCCTTCAGGTTTGTCTCTGGCACGATTTTTCTCATATCTACCATTTTCAAATCATACTTCTCATTATATCCTAGGTTTTTGGCACTAGTATCGCACATGAGGAAGTTTCCATAGGGGCCATGGAAAACATCTTCCACAAATTCTAGAAGTCCTATGGCTATTTTAGCCTTTCTAGGCCATGATGGTGTGAACAACTGGTCCATACTTCTCCTGAACCCAGATGGAATAAAAAGCTCAACGACCCAGGGAAGACTTATTCCATAAAGAGAGGTGTATTCAACACTTTCCATCACATAGAGGTCACCACAGAACCCCATTAGCTTGGGGGTGTGTTCTTTGTCTTGCAGGATCACCATGAGAAGAAATTCATTGAGCTGAAGAAGAGCCCACGCTGACTTTGCTTCTCCCAGGGAAACCTGGCCATCTTTGTCTCCATCAGCCACTGTCAGGATGAGGTTAACCAGTTCGGAGAGGTTTCCTTGGTCACCCAACTTTGCCTGTCAAGAATTATACAGAAGGAATAAAAAACTAATTCCCCATCACTGAACTTCCTATGTGAGCATTATGGTCATGCTAGTAACCTTTCCTGTGAAGGACAGGGGTGCTCCACCTGCTGGTTCACTCCCTAGATGTGTGCCAACGGCCAGGGTTGGGTCAGGCCAAAGCCAGGGGCCCAGAACTCCAGCTAGGTCTTCCACATGGGTGGCAGGGACCTAAGTAGTTGAGTGAATCTGCTGTCTCCCAGGGTGCACATTAGTAGAAAGCTGGATTCAAAGCACTCCAATATGGGGTTTGGGCATCCCAAGTGGCAAGTTAATAACCACTATACCACACACCTGTCCCATCCTGGCAATAATCTTGTTAAATTTAACAGGTTATATCTCCAAATACTTACGATGTTTCATAAGCAAATTAGAACCATGTTGTAGGGAAGGGCATTTGGCACAGCAGTTAAGATGCCGCTTGGGATGCCTGCATTCTATATCGGAGTACCTGGGACTGAGTCCTGACTCCACTTCCAATGCAGCTTCTGGCTAATATGCACCTTGGGATACAGAGGTATTGGCTCAAGTACTTAAGTACCTGCCACCCACATGGGAGACCTGAATGCAGTTTCCCTGGGCCCATGGCCATGGCTCTGTTGACGGCACTTGAGCCATCATGGGCGGCTTTCCCAGGCACATTAGCAGGAAGTTGGATAGGAAACAGAGCAGCCAGACACGAGCTGGCATTCTGATACAGGCTGCGCCGCAAAGGCCAACCCCTGTATCTCACCCTTTTTTGTATCAGTTGTAACGTCAAACTCTACAGTCTGGGTATTTAAGGAAACCCTCTTATACCTGGACATTTTTTTTTGCTATTAATGTTAAAGTAAACATCTTCCAATATGTGTATTTTTTTAAATTATTGCCCCAATGATGGAGACCCTGATAGAGGTCAAAGCATATCAGCTTTTCAGTGTTTTAGCATGAGGTCCCGCCAGTGCCTTAGGAAGAGTGTGCGTCCCACTAGCAACATGTGAAGAGATATCCTTACCTTAAAGAGACTGTAGACCATTTCTTTGAATTTCTGCACCGTGGTTCCCCTTGTTGGCTTGTCAAATAGCACTATTTCTTTTCTAGGTTCCAGTTCAGTTCCAAAATCAACATGAAGCGCTTGTTCCATTTGACATTTCACAACACCTGGTAGATTATCCCAAACCCCTAAATACATCTACATGAAGAAGAATGACATTATGCATTACGCTGAGTAGAAAACTACAAAAATATAGCACAGTATTTTTACGGTTCAGCTCCTCTTTAAAAAAAAAAATTACACAAGCCAGCATCACAATTCTGAGATTGAGCTATGACTGTCTGCTTGTTTATTTATCTACTTTTAGTTATTTCTTTAAAGATTTATTCATTTATTTTGAAAGAGTTATAGAGAGGGAGAGAGAGACAAAGATAAAGATTGTCCATTTGCTGGTTCATTCCCCAGATGGCTGCAATGGTAGCACTGAGCCAGGCGGAAGCCAGGAGCTTCATCTTGGTCTCCTATGTGGCTGGCAGGGGCCCAAGTACTTGGGCCATTTTCTGAGGCTTTCCCAGGTTAACAGCAGGGAGCTGGATCAGAAGTGCAGCAGCCAGGACATGAACCAGTGCCCATATGAGATGCCAGCATTGCAGGTGGCAGCTTTACCCAATACACCACAATGCTGGCCCATATTTATTTATTTGAAAGGCAGAATAAGAGAGAAAAATATCTTCCATCCACTGGTTTCCTTCCCAAATGCCCACAACAGCCAGGGCTGGCTGGGCAGAAACCAGGAGCAGGAACTCCTCTGGGTCTCCCTCAGGGATAGTGGGGACCCAAGTCCTTGGGCCATCTTCTGCTACCTCCCAGTGCATTAGCAGGGAGCTAAATTGAAAGCAGAGTAGCCTGGACTTGACCTCACTCTGATATGGAATGCTGGCAACACAAGTAGCAGTTTAACTCACTGTGCTACATACACCAGCTTAAGTCACGGTGCAAATATTTTCGAAATCCATATTTGAAACAGTTCAAAGAATTTTTTGCTTAAGCTAATATTTTTAATTATAAAGTAATGTATACCTAAACATATTTTAATGATCAAATTAGTAGGATGTAAGACATAAAGCAAAGTTCCTCCACATTCCATTTCCCTAATTCCTCTCCCCAGAACTAATCACATTTTTTTCTTTAAACAGAATTTTTATGTTCTATCTATCTATAGTGTTCCAATAATGGAGGTTAAAAAAGTTTTCCATGTTAAGGTTCTCTGAGATAAATTAGTCTGAAATGCATGTTACATGGCCAAATGAAAGATGTTGAGTGAAAAGAGGAATAAAAAAGAGAAAAATAGTTAACACTGTAATCATTTTCATTTTTATATATTTCTACATTATATGAGTATTTCTTTAAATTAAAAATAAAATTTTCAGAGTACATTAATTTATTTTATTTTATTTTTATTTGACAGACAGAGTTAGACAGCGAGAGAGAGAGACAGAGAGAAAGGTCTTCCCTCTGTTGGTTTACGCCCCAAATGGCCACTACGGCCGGCGTGCTACACCGATCCAAAGCCAGGAGCCAGGTGCTTCCTTCTGGTCTTCCATGTGGGTGCAGGGGCCCAAGCACTTGGGCCATCCTCCACTGCACTCCTGGGCCACAGCAGAGAGCTGGACTGGAAGAGGAGCAACCGGGACCAGAACCCGGCGCCCATATGGGATGCCGGCTCCGCAGGTGGAGGATTAGCCAAGTGAGCCATGGTGCTGGCCCCAGAGTACACTAATTTTGTCTTACCTTTTTTTGGTATCAGTTTTAATGTCAAACCATACAGAAGTCCAACAAGTTAATGAGATTCCCTCATATATGGACTTTTTTGCTATTATAAATAATGTCAAAGTATATACCAAATTAACATTACAGTGTGTTCAACATGTCCTAACTTATTTTATTGTTGTCTGAATGCTTCTATCCCAACCCAGTGAGGTAGGTACTATTGTTACCTTCCCTTCACTGAGAAGAAAATCAAGCAGTCAGGGGAAGTGGCTCGCCGAGGTTAACACAGAAGTGCAAAACTGGCACTTGGACCCAGAGGTCAAGACTAAGAGCTCATGGTCCATTTTTCTTTCTTTTTCCTTTAAGAACTTTTATTTGAGCGACAGAGAGAGACAGATGGATACATAAAGAGAGAGCTCCCATTCACTGGTTCACTCTCCAGATGATTGCAACAGCCAGGATTGGGCAGGAACTGACTGGACCTCCCATGTGAGTGACAGGAACCCAACTCCATGAGCCGTCACCTGCTGCCTTCCAGGGTCTGCGTTAGCAGGAAGCTGGAATCAGTAGCCACAGCCAGGTATTGAACGAACCCAGGCACTGCGGCGTGGGACACAGGTGTCTTTAACCAGCATCTTAATGACTAGGCTAAATGCCTGCCCTGAGCTTAGGGTCTTATCTACCAGGGTACGCTGTCTTACTCTATATAAAGAAACAAATAGGATCATATGAATTAATAATAATAATAATACTAATCCAAACAAAGCAGATTATATCATCTCCCTGCTTCAAATCCTCCATTAAATTCCTAAATCAATTAGCATAATGTCCGAAGTCCTTCCCACTGTCTGCTGGCTCCATCTGAGCTGGCTTGACCTACTTCCCCGGCCTGATCTTGTCCCCCTTCCTCCCTGATTCTCCCCGCCCCAGCTACACTGGCCCTTCTGTTCTTTGCACCTGCTCGTTCCTGCTTCACAACGTGCGTCACCTGCACTGCTTCTGCCTGGGATGCACGCTCCCAGATCTCCACGTGGCTGGTTCCTGCACACCATTCAAGTGTCGGCTCAGACGTGCGGCTCCTTGGACGGGTCTCCCCCGCCCCTTCCTCCAGTAGGTTCCTCTTCTATCCCAGATGGCCTCTAACCCACCCCTGCTAGCCACGGCACTGTCTGAAATGGTCTTCCTTATTTGTTGACTCATTTCATAGCGTCTTCTTCCATGCTAGAGCGTAAGCACACGAGGCCAGAGGCTTGTCTGTCTTGCTCTCCGTGGTCTCTCCCAGTGCCTCACACAGTGCCTGGCGGGCAGCTGACATTCAAATGTTGGCCTTTGTTTCAGAAATCCTCTTAAATATGCTTGTTAATTTAAAAATCATTTTAGGGCATGGCATTGTGGTGCAGGGGGTTAAGCTACCGCCTGCAACACCGGCATCCCATATGGGTGCCAGTTCGAGTCCTGGCTGCTCCACATCCAATCCAGCTCCTGCTAATGTGCCTGGGAAGGCCATGGAAGATGGCCCAAGTGCTTGGGCCCCTGCACCTACATGGGAGACCCAGAGGAAGCTCCTAGTTCCAGAAGCCTGGCCCAGCTCCAGGCACTGTGGCCATTTGGAGAGTGAATCAGCAGATGGAAGATTTCTCTGTCTCTCCCTTTCTCTGTAACTCTGCCTCTCAAATAAACAAATAAATGTTTTAAAAAATTCTTTTAATAATGCCTTTAGCTACCATTAAAATCAGAGTATACGATCATTCTGTGCATACCTGATTGTTGGGCTTGGTGGATAAGCATTTTCCAAAGTAAAGCGTTTCTGTTACACAAAGGCTGTTACAAGCAGGCCCATCAATGACTCCAGTCTTGTACTTGTCACACTGAAAACCAGGAAATAAAACAGCAGTTAACAGAAAGAAAAATGCTCACAAGAAGGAACCTCGGAAAGATCCCACAAAGAGATATCTACATCCTTAAGACAAAGTCCTGTGATGGGAGGATCTCAGCCTCAGATCAGTCAGAGCTGGATTTGAGCCCAGCCTCTGTTACCGCCTCCACGACCACGAGGGAGCTTGCTGCTCCTGCCCCGAACACTGAGTTCCAAACTAGTTTCCCCTCTTGTGCCCTGAGGCAGTGCGGCACCTGCTCCTCCAGGAACAGAGCACTCTCTCTTTAAAAATGGCTGTGGTTTTGGGGCTGGTTTGCTGGAGCCTAGTAGAATAAGCCTCAGTCTGAGGCACCGGCATCCCATATGGGAGCCGATTCTCATTCCAGCTGCTTCTCCTCCATCCAGCTCCCTGCTTCTGGCCCGAGAATGCAGTGGAAGGTGGCCCAAGTCCTTGGGCCCCGCACCCGCGTGGGAGACCCGGAGGAAGCTCCTGGTTTCCTGGCTTCGGATTGGCACAGCACTGGCCGTTGCGGCCATTTGGGGAGTGAACCAGAGGCTGGAAGATCTCTCTTTCTCTCTCTCTCTCTCTGTAACTCTGCCTCTCAAATAAATAAAATCTTAAAAAAGGGGCATTAGCTTTAAAATAAACTTCAGAAGTTTAAAATATGAAAATAACATTAATTTACTTCTTCGATTTCGTCATCCCGAGACCACACCAAAGAAGGAAAGGAAAAGGAAGCAGGAACTCAGCCTGTGCCAAAAGAAGGCCTGGGCGGGGCTGCTGAGGCCCGGGAAGAGGAAAGCGGAGCCAGGAGTGCACAAGAGCAGGAGCCTGAGGCGGCCCGGCCCTCGGACCCGGCGGACTGGGCAGGGGCACCCCCTGCTCTGCAATGAAAGCTTAAGGGGCGCAAGCTGCGGGGGCTTCCTCGGACTTTATCAGGCTTGTGCAAGTAGTGGGGCAAGGCAGGGCTGAATGACAGAGCCCTTGACAATGGTTGCTAGCATGAGCTAGGGCTGGGGCAGCCCCAGCTGGGAGCAGCCCTGCAGCTTCCGGGGAGGGCGTAGGGTAAGTGCAACTGTGTGGGTCTTCCAGTCTCACCTTTCTTTTCTTTTCTTTCTCACACCACACCACACCACCTGCACACGCACCTGCACCTGCAGCCACAAGCAACTTCTCTCTCTCTTTAAAAGATCTATTTATTTGAAAGGCAGAGTTAGAGAGAGAGAGAGAGAGAGAGAGAGTGGGAGATGGAGAGAGATCTTCCATCTGCTGATTCACTCCTCGAAGGCTGCAATGGCTGGAGCTGGGCTGATCAGAAGCAGCCAGGAGCCAGGAGCTTCTGTGTAGGTCTCCTATGTGGGTGCAGGCGCCCAAGGGCTCTAGGCCTACCTTCTGCAGCTTTCCCGAGCTGGACCAGAAGCAGAGCAGTCGAGACTCAAACTGGCACCCGCACAGGACGCTGGCATTGCAGGAGACAGCTTTCCCCGCCATGCAACAGCGCCCGCCCCACGCAGCTTCTCTTTTAGCTCAGTTCATTGCCAGCTGCTTCCTGCAAATGGCTAGCTGAGGAAGAACTCACTTCCCTCAAACTGAGTAATAATCAAAAGAAAACAAACAATCTATACAGCAAATCCACAAGAATTAGGAAAAAAGGAATAGGAAAAGGAAACATCAGAAATTGTCCCCCGAAAAATGCTGCCACAAGGCAGACCAAATGTATTGCCATGATTTAAAGAGACTTCATGAAATGGTTTAAAGTAAGAACTCAGGGGCCGATGTGGCACAGTGGGCTCAGCTGCTACCTGCAACACCCGCATCCCTTTATCAGAGCGCTGGTTGGAGTCTCAGCTGCTCCACTTCCAATCCAGCTCCCTGGGAAGACAGAAGATGGCCCAAGTGCCTGGGCCCCTGCCACCCATGTGGGAGACCCAGCTGGAGTTCCAGGCTCCTGGCTTTGTCCTGGCCCAGCCCCGGCTCTTCCAGCATTTGGGAAGTGAACCAGTGGGTGGCAGTGTTCTCTCTCTCCTCTCTTTCTCTGTCACTCTGCCTTTCAAATACATAAAATTTTTTAAATAATATTTTAAAAAAGAAGAAATGATGCTCAACAGAAAAAAGCGAGCTAACAGAACTCAGAAAGGAAGAAAAAGAAAGAAAAGTCCCAGAAATAAAAGCTACATTAGAAATGGGGAGAGGGAAGACAGATGAAGAAAGATAAAGACCCAGAGAGACTCAGCAGGACAACACTGGGGAACAGGCACGAAGCGACATGGGAATGCGAAGAATCAAAAGGGATCCTGGACAAACTGACAAACTCAGATGTCAGAAGACATCCAGTATGTCCATGTGAAGGAAACAGGAATAAAGTAGAAAAGGAAAAAAAAAAATCCAAGCACAACTCAAGGAAAGTTCACACAAATGAAGGAACATTTTAATTTATAGACCAAAAGGACATATAGTGTCCCAATAAAAACGGGTATGAGTAATCGCTGGAACACATCCCAGAGATGATTACTGGACTTCAGAAATAAACCATCCTTTAAGCATCTGGGTAGAAAGATCAAGGCATCCTTAAGGGGAAACAAACCAGACTGCCATCAGATTTCAGTGCTGGAGAAGAGCGCAACGCCTCTGGGCAAGGCAGTGTGACTTCCTGCATCTAAACTTTCTCATCTGCAAAAGGTGATGTTCACAGTATGGCAGCGGGGCAGGCAGTTGGCCTGGTGGTTAAGATGCCATTGGGGCCGGCGCCGCGGCTCAATAGGCTAATCCTCCGCCTGCGGCGCCGGCACACCGGGTTCTAGTCCCGGTCGGGGCGCCGGATTCTGTCCTGGTTGCCCCTCTTGCAGGCCAGCTCTCGGCTGTGGCCCGGGAGTGCAGTGGAGGATGGCCCAGGTGCTTGGGCCCTGTACCCGCATGGGAGACCAGGAGACGCACCTGGCTCCTGGCTTCGGATCAGTGCAGTGTGCTGGCCGCAGCGGCCATTGAGGGGTGAACCAATGGAAAAGGAAGACCTTTCTCTCTGTCTCTCTCTCTCACTGTCCACTCTGCCTGTCCGTGAAAAAGAAAACAAAAAGCCCAAGATGCCATTGGGAACGCTGGCATCCCCCACTGGACTACTTGGGTTCCAGTTCCAGCTCCACTCCTGATCTCGGCTTCTGGGGAGATCACGTGGGAGACCTGGGTTGAGTTCTGGGCACCTGCTCTCTGCCTCGCTTGGTTCTCCACTTTGTGGGCATTTGGGGAGTGAACTAGTAGATGAGAGTGCACTCTCTCTTCCTCTCAAATAAATAAAGTAAAAATTAAAAAACAAAGCTAAAGCTTGAAAAAAAAATAGTATGGCACTCTTACGATGATTAAAGGATATAATAAGTATAGCTCACTTGTGACTTCACTAAGTGTTCAATAATAGCTATTATTATTTTACATAGCCAAACTGTTCATTCTAGTAAAAGACATCAAATGTTTTTGAACGTGCAAGGTTCAGAAAATATAATTTGCATTATTAGTATCTCTTGAAGAAATTACAAGAGAATTTCAGCCAACCAAGACATGAGATGAATGGGGAAACCGAACATGGAAGCCAGATAAAATGCAGCCCTGGGTGTTGAATTAATGAGAATTGTTAATGAAATGCCTGGCAGTTACTATTTGCTTACCACACATCAGGTACTATTCCTAGTGCTCTACATTTTAAAAAATTTATTTGAAAATCAGAATTACACACAGAGAGATCTTCCATCTGCTGGTTCACTCCCCACATGGCCTCAATGACTAGAGCTGGGCCAGCCTGAAGCCAGGAGCTTCTTCTGGGTCTCCCATGTGGGTGGCAGGGATTCAACTATTTGGACCATCTTCTGCTGCTTTCCCAGGCCATGAGCAGGGAACTGGATAGGAAGTGGAGCAGCAGGGACATGAACCAGTTCCCGAATAGGATGCTGGTGTTGCAGGGGGCAGCTTTTCCTCCTATGCCACAATACCAGCCCTGTCAGTGCTCTATATTTTTTAAAAAATATTTACTTATTTATTTGAAAGGCAGTTGAGAGTCAGAGAGAGAGAGAGAGAGAATCTTCCATCCACTGGTTCACTCTCCAAAGGCTACAACAGCCAGGAGCCTCTAGCCAGGTTTCCCATGCGGGTGCAGGGGCCCAAGCACTTGGGCCATCTTCCACTGCCTCCCAAGAGCAGCGGAAGGCAGCTGGATCAGAAGTGGAGCAGCCAGGATGCCAACAGCACTCTGACATGGGATGCCAGCATTTAAAGTGGCCACTTCATGCACTTCATGTGTGAAGGATCAGGCCCTACTTTTAATATGACAAAAACCCTGGGAAAGAAGAGCAATTGCTATACCCATTGTGAAGACAAGGAAGCAGAAGTATCTGTTAAGTGACTTGTTCGCTGCTACAAAAGGAAAAAGCCACGTGTCCACTCCAGGCAGGCTCCACAGCCCATCTGCTGAACCATGACTGTGAACTGCTCAGAACAGCGCAGGCCCCTCAGACATGCCCACTGGGTCCTCCTCCCAAAAACACAGCCCTGACTGGGATCAGGGGCGCTGGCCAAGCGAAGCACTAAGTGTCAGCAGGCAGGAGCTGAGCCGGAGGAGTTCCGGACCATGGTCTGCATTCTCTGTCTAATCCTGGCTCTAAGCAAGAACAGGAGTTTCCATAGAGAGCAGGAGCCACGTTCAGTTCCCAGGCCCGAGTGTGGGGCCCATGTGGAGACATGCTCAGTGCCTTCCCTCGATCTGGTCGACCACAGGGGAATTTTAGGAAAGGCAGAATCACCTGCTTGGCCCCTCTGCGCAGGACCAGGTGGCCAGCAATCTCACTGGCACATTTCTCCATGGTTGCAAAGGTCCTGGGGCCCTGAGGTCTTACTCGGGAGCCTGAGAGAAAGCTCCTACAGCTCCCAAGGAATTTAAGCCACAGAGACCACAATTTTTTTTTTTTTATTGGAAGGAAAAAAAGTTAGGTTTCAGTTCTACCCATAGC